GCCAGCACTCCTACACCAGAGCCCAGGATGGTGGGTGAGCAAAGGTGTGCCGAGTTGTGTGAGGCTGGGCCCCGCCACGCCGGCTCTGGCTGGGTTCAGACAGGGACTCAGGCTGGATCGAGACCGACCCCTCCCCACGGCCCAGGGCGCACCTCTGCGCCCCTCCCCACCGCCCCGTTCGCGGGGCCTCGCGCGCAGCCGGGCACTTACCAGGCAGAAGAGGTTACAGTGACAATCTTCCAGGCTGGCCTCTCGGTTCATTGAAGGAGGAACTCATCGTCCCCTCGTGTACAAAGCGCGCCGGACGACTCACTAGCACCATCCGCCATTACCGCCGCCCTCCGCAGAGAAAGACACAGCACCTGGGAGGCGGGGGGTGGTGGTACAGTTGGGGAGCGAGTGGAAGGGAGCCGCCTAGGCCGCCGCTCCCCCCCCCCCCCCGCCGCCGCCCGAGCAGTGCCTCTCGCCGCCCGGCCGGCGTCCAGACCGCCCGCTGGGCCCAGGGCGCGGGGGCTGCTTCGGCGCGTTGCAGGCGGCGCTGTCGCAGCCGCAGCGGACGCCATGGCAGGACGCTCGTTCCTCCTCTGGGGGGACCAGAGGTATGGGCCCACAAGGAAAATAGATAATGATTACACAATAAATACTCAATCGAGTCCGAGAGGGCAGAGCACAAGCCTTGAAGGACTTCTCCCGGGCGGAGGCGCCCGTAGGAGGGCAGGAAGGGCAAGAACTGGAGCAGAGCTCACAGGGCCGCCCCGGCGGCGGAGCGATGTCCCAAAGCCCAGAATCTGGCTCAGCGGCGGAGGTGGTGGCGGCGTCTGCGGCGAGAGCCATCTCTGGCTGTGTCTTCGTGTCGTCCCTGGGCCAAGCCAGGCCTAACGTTAGTCTGTCTACTCGGCACCACCGCCCGAGCCCATAGTCTCCCCATTTTAGGCCCAGCGGGCGAGTGTTTTCTTCCAAATCCAGATTGGTGTTTCCCTTCGCTTTAATGGCGGCCACAGGGACCAGTTTCGTCCGTTGCCATTAGGCCGCCTTGAGGTCCTGTGCTCCAGCCTCCTGACCGACGCGACGAGAAGAGGGCCGGGAAGCTTGGCGGAGGCGTGAGCCCTGGGGACTGGACAGCCAGCTGGCGGCTACTAAGATAGCCATCTGCGCTGCCCCAGCTATGTGTAGATGACCCGAGGCCCCAGGCCTACCTTGTTCCTTTGGGATTAGTGCCAAGAGGGTGTATCCAATCATCTGATCAATACGTGGAAATCTGTTTCGTGTAAGAGAAGTATTAGTAAAAATTCGGCATCCTCAACTCATTTTTCCAGGGACCACTGAGGTGTTTTGCAGAGCCTCCCAGCTTGGGAGTCAGTGCTACCTGGATAGAATTGGACCCTTAAAAGTTGTGATACTAAGAAGAAATGTATAGAAACAATATAGCCTCAGTGTTATTAGCCTGAGAGAGCCACACTACTGGGGTTCAACCTTGAGGCTAATATCTTTGTGTCTTCAGTTTCCCCTCATTTGTGAAGTGGGAAAGAGATACCCCTTCACAGGATTGTTGTGATAATGAATATATTATAAACAGGTATCCCAGTACCTGTAGGATGATCTGCATTGTAAGTTATCTATTATTGTTGCTCATTACCTCAATGATATGTGTGAGGAGTTGGTGAACCAGTTTAAGTGAAGTGCCCACTAGTATAATTCTGCGAGAGACTACTTTTTGTTTTGTTTGCTGCCATACTATCACTAGGGCATAAACAAGGTTCCTAGGGAACACAAGAGTGCTTGATATTTCATGAAATCGACAGAAATCAATGAAATAGTAAGAGAAGTGGCAAGTAAGATATTAGTTCCTTCCCTATAAAACATTCAATTCTTTACTAGATTACACTTAAGTATAAGACATCAAAACATTTTCCTGGAGGTTTCTCTCCCTAATTCAGTGGAGAGAAAGAAGTAAGAGAAGAATGGAGAAGGAAGAGTAAAGTAATCAAAAGTTAGGGTGCCTGGGACCTCAGTTATTGAGCTCAAGCTCAGATTTGGACTCAGTTACAATTTCCATAGTCAAAGATCAGCCTCGCATGCACTTCTTCTGGGAGTGGAGGCTGCTCATTCTGATCTCTCATCTATGAGAAGTTGAACTCTCATGATTGTTGATCTTTCAAAATTTTATCTTAGGGCACCTGGGTGGTTAGTCAGTAGCTGAGCATCGATTGACTCAGGTCATGATCTGGGTTCATGGGTCCGAGAGCCCACCGGCTGTACTGACAGCCTGCTCAGAGAGCCTGGAGCCTGCTTCAGATTCTGTGTCTCCCCTTGCTCTGCCTCCTCACCTCACTGTCGCTCATGCTCTTCTCTCAAAAAAATATTAAAAAAAAATTTTTCAGATTCTCTTTCCTCCTCCTCCCCTCACCATGGGTGCACACTCTCAAAAAAAGGAAAAAAAAAAAGAAACATTCTTTCTTGAGTTAATTTACCATAATTTTACATCATAATTGCCTTTATAATATAAATGATGGGCTCTTCCATGTCACTTCTAACCAGCCATGGAATGGAAAGCATTCTTTAGTCAACCATTCAATTCATCTATGATGATTAGAGCCCAAATCTTAGCAAAGCCTGTGAAAAAAGTTCTGCCTCTACTATTGTTGATCTTGGATTGGCAATTTTACTTCAGATGAAATAATTTTACTACTCTTGCTTTGTATTGTAATCGAAGATAATAAGTGTTTTGGGGGCATGTGGCTGGCTAGTGTTACATCATTCTTGATTTGGCTTGGGGTCATAATTTCTATGCCCATGGGGATCGAGCCTCCCTGCTACAGGCCTCTGCCTGACAGTACGGAGGCATCTTGGGATTTCTCTCCCTTTCTCTCTGCCCCTCCCAGCACCCCAAAATAAATAAATAACAAAATAAACTTTTTTTTTAAAAGTACTTTTCTCCCAAAGTGTCTGGTGAATGACACATTGTAGGTATAGGGCTTCCACAGTGTTTTACTAAATGTTAGCTATTAAACAAAGAAAATCTTTAAATCATGGGAGCCTGGGTGTCGTATATAGTCCGACTTCTCACCAGAGATCGCTGATCTCAGGTGTCCGTGAGGAGCCCGCCTGGCCGAGGCTCTAGCTGCCAATGGCTCAGAGCCTGGACCTGTTTCCCGATTCGTGTCTCCCCTCTCTTGCTACCACAATGCTACATCTCTGTCTCTCCCTGTCCCAAAATAAATGGCAGAAAAAAAAAATTAAAAAAAAATAAATAAAAAATCATTATGAGGGCGCCTGGGTGGTTCGTTGGTTGAGCGATTGACCCGGCTCAAGGACATGATCTCAACCCATGGATTCGAGCTCTCGTCCAGCTCTGTCCTGACAGCTCTGGAGCCTGGAGCCTGCTTTGGATTCAGTGTCTCCTCTCTCTCTGCCTCTCGCCCTCCTCATGCATCTATGGCATGCTCGCAGCTCTCTCCTCTCAAATAAGTAAACATTAAAAGAATTTTAAAAAAACAAAATAAAAACTTGAGATCTAGGTAGCTAACTGAGAGTGTAGTTCCCTGTCTTATCTAGGGCCTGGGAACATAGAATATAGATAATGCTACCTGTCTCAAGATTCCTGAAAGAGAATAAAACATTTCCCACAGAATCAGATAAAAATATCATGAAAGGTGATTGCTTGAATAAGGCATGTATCAACTATGGCACAATAGGAGTGAGGAGCACCAAAGTCAGAGAAGGCATCTTAAAGTAGGCATTTGAAATCAGATTTAAAGGGTAAAATGATTTTATAAAGCCCTGAAGTAGAAAATCCTTAATAAGCCACCATTTCAGTTCCAAAGACCACATATCAAAGTCAATTATACAACAAGCTAATATATCCAGGAGCTCAAATGAAGCGAAGTCACATCCTTTCTGAGTGCTTAGCACCAGGGGACACTCTTTGTACGCCCATAAGGTAAGATGGAGCCTCTCCGTCTATTTCCCTGTTAGAATCCTCAGTCTTGCCAACCTCTTTTGTAATTTGGAAAGTACAACTTCCCAACCTTTTTTATTTATCCAAACATCAGCCATCCTCTTCTGAAAGTCTCACCTCGATCTGCTCAGCCAAACTCAAGCACCTTCCCTACGGGACTCCAGAGGCAGGTAGATATCTCCTAAAACATTTGTGGAAAGTAACATTTTTTGTACTTCATTTGAATATCATTCCTTGTCAAAAAGAAGAGGAGATGGAAGACAAGAGAAAATGTCCCAGAAAGGATCATGCTAATAGGAGCAAACAGAAAGAGAGGGTGAAAAGCAAAGAGGAAACTTGAGAGAAAATGGAGACAAGTTGGAGAAAAGGGACACCAAATGTAGAGGAATGGAAACATCATGGAAGAGAGAAAGATCAACATCAGCACAGAGAACATGTCAGTGTACCCACCTACCTTTCTTAAAATGTATTTTTGTGTCATCAGTTAAGCAAGGAAACTTAAAACAGTATTGCATTGTCAAAAGTTTAGAAGATACAGAAAAGTGTAAAGATAAACGTTTAGTGCTAACACACCTTTTTTTTTTTTTTTTTTTTTAAATGCCCGACTTCGGTTCAGTCAGTTGAGCATCCTGACTTCAGCTCAGGTCATGATCTTTGGTTCATGGTTCGAGCCGCCACATGGCTCTGTGCTGACAGCTCAGAGCCTGGACCATTCAGATTCTGTGTCTCTTCTCTCCCCTGCCTCCCCATCACACTCTGCTCTCTCTCTTCAAAATAAATAAACATTTAAAAATTTTTTTAAATGCCCATTATCCTCATTCATAATCAACCATCTTTTTAACTTTGATGTTTTTCCTTCGGACTTTCCTTATATACATATATATCTCCGACATGGTTAAGTCATACTACAGCTATATACATATTACTACATTTAATATCTGTGTCAATGTGTCAGTCATTCACTGAGACAAGGCTCGGATATACAAGGAGTTCACTAAATCTTTATAGAATATGCAATTGGATAGTTGGACCAACTAGGGATCAAACTCCACACTGCCTGCTAGACCTCATTTACTCAGTAGTAAAATATCATGATGCAATATGCCCAAATGTTAGAGGGAGCAAAGGAGATAATCAATCAGCTAAAATTCCAGGGAGAGCCTAATCAGGAATGCTAAGGTGAATGCTTAGACAGTTGCCTTGGGGATGCTAATCACCTATTGACTCTTTGTACCCTAAAGTGAATACTCAATGATCTCATTTAGAGAATTGTACTAAGCTCCTTCACCCTTTGACTCCGACT